TTGGTGTATGTGCCTAAATCGTTAGAGTATACTACTCTGCTTTTCAACCTCAAAACTCCTTCAGCATCTAATATCGGCGAAAGTTCGTATATTCTGCTAGATGAATCAACTATTCTTCCGTTTCGAAGTGAATTAATTTCTTCTGAAAAATCTTCGTTTTGAACACATTTCAGTCAAATAGTTTCTGCGGTATTTATCTCCGAAGGTTGAAGTCCTGCATTGTTCGATAATTTATAGACAAATCTCAACATCCAAGCTGTTGCTTGAAGTAACTTCAACCATGACGATAATCTTTTCATATTTGGTAAAGCCTGTATTAAATCTGAATTGGTTTGCTTGGTTACACCAACAAAATTGTCCTTCACTTCTGATGTATCCAGAGATATATCATGGTTATTTTGAGACGGTCATCTGCCTTCTTCATATTCAAGAATCTCAGGACCATTTAGCCATCTGCCACCAGTTTCCCATAAATATAGGTTATTGCTTCTTGTGGCATTATCAGCGATATTTTCTTTTGTAGGGACCCCATTCCAATGTGTAACGTCAGTGTTTCCGATGATTTCTGCCACTTTATGTACTACAAATGGATTGGAAATCACGGTATCGGCTTTGATCCATCCAATGACGGTTTTTGAATCCGTTCAAAAATAGCATGAGTCAATTTTAATATTGTGATTTTCTTTGATGCAAACTGCCAGTCTACTTCCTGAAACTGTAGACTGAAGTTCAAGCCTGGGAGTAGACATCATTTGTCGGATGGGTGCCATTCTAGACTTTGACTTGTTTGAATGGAATATTTTTCTTGATTCAAAGGTAGGCAACAGCTTCATATGCCTGGCCACTTGCATCACAGAAAATATGAATTTGAATTTCCTCGGCTTCAAAAATATTGGAAACATAACGGCGAGGAATGGACACAGTTGAGATTTTTTCAATATTTTTAACCCATTCTACATTTTTTTTTCATTTCTTCATTCAGTTCATCATCTCATTCAGTTTTTAAACGCCAAATGTCCTGAAGAAGAATTCGAGCAGCTATTGTGAAAGTATTTAGGAAGCCAAAAGGATCAAAGATTGACATGACTGTTTTTAGTACTTTTCTTTTTGTTGCGTGTTTGGCAAGTAACATTTTGGGGTTTTCGGAGTCCCACTTTATTGAAAAGGAAAAAACATCTTGATTTTAGTTCCAAAATAGTCCTAAAATCCTCGCAGTGGGCAACTCCTTTTCTAGGTTCATATTTTTTTCTCTGGAATTTCGAAGCTCTTCTGGTATGTACTTTAAAACATCTTTGGAATTACTAGACCAGTTTCGTATGACGAAACCTCCTTGACTATGAACTTCGATCACATCCGATGGTATTTTCTTCAATTGCTTCTTCAATTGTATTTACACTATCGAAGTAGACATCGATGTAGTGTTGCTCTCTAATGGCTTTTACAGTTCGTGGAAATTCTTCCTCAAATTCCGCAGCATTTCTTCTCATAACATATTGAGCCGATGTTGGAGATGATACTGCCCCGAAAATCATAGCCGTCATTTCATATTTTTGCGTATTTTTGTCATGACACCGTCTGTCTTTCCACAAAAATCTCTGTGCATGCCTATCCATTGATGTTATTTGGATTCTATGGAACATGTCCTGAATATCTGCAGTCACAGCTATATTTCTCTGCCTGAATTTGAAGATGATGCAAGTAGGAAATTCAGCAGGTCTGGACCTTTCAGAAGAAAATCATGGAGACTAATTCTATTTGTTTTCGCTACTGCATCAAATACAAACCGTATTTATCCGGGTTTATTAGGATTTGTTATCGCAAAATATAGCAGATACCAAACTTTTTTTAGTATCCTCTGATACTTCCTCCGCAGGCAACATTCGAACATACCTTTTTTCTAAATATTCACTCATTTTCGTATTCAAGACCAAAATCTTCATTTCTGTTCATCTTTTTCTCTATGGATTTCAATCGGCACAGGGCAGTAGGTTTATTATTTGGTAAAGGAACATTGTCCTTTTTCCATAAAAGTCCAGTTTCCCATCTGTTGCTATTTCATCTGGATGAAATCACAGCCACTAAACTAAAAAACGGGTATCTCACATATCGCGATTCTCATGAACATGTTCATGAACTTTTATAGGATCAGTTTCTGTTTGAATACCTGAATAAATCAATATGGGTCATCAATAGAAAAACACGTTATAGGTATAACAACAGGTACATGTTATCATTTCCATTATTCCAGTGGACTGAAAATTGAAATTCACTTCATTCATTTACTTTTCTCTACTGAAATTACGCAACTGAAATCACTCTCGTTTGAACATGTACAAACAACTCTCCTCGGGTCCAAAATGAAGTATTATAGGTTAAGCACCATGACTTTATTATCGATACTATTGTCTTTCACTTACTTTTCTCAAAGAATGGATATATCTTTGGAAAAAATTTGAATTTTTGCGACGTTCTGTAATCTTCAGCAATAGATATTCCAGGAATATTTCATGAATATACATTTGAGGATATTGTATAATGCTATGAATATGCCATGGAAATATATATCTTCTGGAGAATATTTCCTGGAAGTGCTCCTGGCGTCACACAAGTAATAAGACACATAATATTCATAAAGAAATATATTCCAAAAACAATACACACTGAATCATTCAACTAGAAACACTACCAGTATCAAAAATAAAGAATCTAATTCAAGATATTTATTCACTAAATTGAATATTTCTGAATATTTTCATGTTACACATATTAGAAATTTATTAAATTTTGGATGTTCCTACTCTCAAAAAAATGTATACTGAAATAACAACTCTGTGAATTCCTCAGCACTAATTGAAAAATAATGAATATATCATTTTATTGAAAAAGAAAAAATGTATCACATGAAGAAATGAGCGAGATTTAGATATAGTTTTCTCACTTCAAAAACTAAACCCACAAATGAACTATTTCAAATGAGTGATATGATGGGTTTTTCAATGAATTTCACTTACTCGAAGTTATCCAGACATTGCTCACCAGAAGAGTTCACCTAATTTTTGTCCAACAATTACTCAGCCAGTCTCTCATTATTGATACCTGAAATGCATTATCTCTATTTAAAAGTGGCAAAACAAAATTGGAATAAAAATGAAATAGATATTTTTCTCATAGGTTTCTGATGAACATTTACAACTTTTTATGATCTGGAGAGCAACTTGCATTCCCGTTGTTGAAAAGTACTCGTTACATTTTCAGTTTCTTGGTCAGGTACCACTCCTTTTCTTTTTGGAAATATTGACACTATCTTGAAAAAGAATAATGAAAATCATGAAAACAAATGATACAAAAGAATGTGTCATTCACTTACTTTTCTCTACTGAAGATACGCAACTGAAATCACTCTCGTTTAAACATGTACTTAGTCAAACCAACAAATCCCACACAACAACTCTCTTCGGGCTTAAAATGAGGTATTGTTGGTTAAGTACCATGACTTTATTATCGATACTATTGTCTTTTACTTACTTTTCTCAAAGACTGAATATGTAACTCTACTGTTTGAAGATGCAAAAGCAAACTATTCGCTGTACTGCAAATTGGACAGCTTCAAACTATAAATGGTACACTAAACATGAGAAAATTATACTTTGATAGTAACACCAATGCCAACCGTCATGTTGAACCAATTGTCGATACCAAAGCAAAGCTGTCAAGCGTTCAGGTGCAGCCGCTTCCACAGAGCTTGGACTGTCGCGCGCTACACTTCAATTGACCAATGAGAAACGTTCACTCCAAAACTTAACTTTCCCATTTCTCTGTTTCCAGTATTTGTCGCTTTGTAATTGAATAATTTCAAATACATAAAAAAATAGGATGAGAATAAACCGATTTATGAATGCAATTGATTCATTTATTAGACCATTCGAAATTTTTGTCGTTTCCAATAGTTGGAGCAATTCATCAGAATCTTTGCGATGAGTTCAAAAACTGGTTAACACTATAAGGGTTATATATATATCAGGCTATGCATTTGATTGAAATCTTCAAATATTTTTGTTTTTAATGATACCTATCGAATTATTTGAATACATTATCATAAGATAATTCAAAATTCCACTAATACTCCGTATAGAATATTTCGAAATATACCCTGGGGATATATTCTAAGAATATACCATATGGTATATTCGATCGACAATATTCTTAGAATATTCACGGGAGACTAGTCCATTTATAGACATTCTAAACAAATTCTTTCGGGAATAATCCCGCCATATTCATTCAAGCATATTCTATGAATATTCTGAAGGCATGTATATATTTCAAAAATATTCTATGAATATTTGGAATATATACGTTCGTTTTATGATATAGAGGGAATATTCCATGAATATCTGGTGTTGTGTGGGAATACAAAACTCTTACCGTTCTGATAATAATAAGGAATGACGAAACAAAATTTATTTTTGTAATTTCAGAAACGGTGTTGGATATATCAAAACATATACTGAGAAAACAACAGTTCTATAATTTCAAATAAATCCATTATGTTTTTATAAACTCATAAGTTCTGGAAATATTTAAGATAGATAGATAATACCATAATTTTCAATCAGAAACCGCTAAAATCAATTCTGTAGTGATTCAACAAATTGAGGCTATGGAGCAGAGAAAAAAACTCATTAATACAGTTCATTGCATGCTTTTCACTATAAAGGGTTTCATCAAGTATCGGTCACTTCTGTTCAATTATGTAGCAGAGGCCTATAATATCTTTGACTATCGATAAAGGTTATAAAATTGAAAAGATGTCGATGCTGTCCACGCGATATGGTGAATCCATTCAAGTGGTTTCGTAGGATGATGAATATAATACTGCTTTCGAGTTCTTTCTCTTAGGAACATGTGCCATTCAACGGCAGTTGAAAGCAATGCTCAAGCCTAACAGTACTGTTGATAGGAATGCTCTTTTCTCAATCAATGGAAGAAATACACAAGTATGTGCGAAAAATTATATTTCATTTGTCAACACTGAAATAAGTTACAAATTCCAAAAGGATAAAAGAACAAAATTCTCTGAAACACTACAGCAATTCCTTTAATAAAACACTTTATGAATCAGCGTAACTTTATTATGTTTTTATTATTTATCAAACTGTAATCTATGCCAATTACGCCGATGACAACCCTAACAAATCAACAAATGATTACTCGTTTTCCTCAGTATTATCAAAAAGTTTTATCCCTATATGTAATGACCCAGCGTTATCGCAAAATTCTTCCCAGGATGAGTAATCTATGCCTAAATAACAAGTTTCATCGAAAATACGAGAAGGGAATTTCATTTTAGAGCACACTGAACCAAATATTGGAGCTAGGGCGTGACTGCTTCCTTTGATGAACGACATTTCATACCTAAAACGACCTTCCTCTGCTGGTTCACCAGAATAATAGCAACCGGTTAGGAATAATCTTTCTTGTTCTTGGAATTTCATGGAAAATCTGAACACCCTATCGAACGCAAGATAGGAGAATATCTTACAGGGATTCAATCCTATATATCTAAATTCACACAGCTCAAGTTCCAGTGGACCCGAAAATACAAGACTAGAATGTGCTTCAAAACAATGTTTACTTGCTTCCTTCAGTTTTCCACACCAAGTACAACCAGTTTGATACAACATTGGGCAGATAACAAGCCTAAATGTACAATTCATTCGATGGTCAACTGCATGTCCTTGATAGTCACAGCCACGATGCCAACATTTTCTGGGGATGTTTTTGACGACTGCATTTTTCCTATCAGAATCCATAGGTATCTACCTGAAAATTACAATGTGATCAAATGAGGTCTAGTTAGTGAGAAAAAAAAAGTCATTTTATATAGTCAGTTTGAAGATAGAGAAACTTGAGTTACGTATTTAAGTTCACTTGAGTTCTTTTCAGTCCAAGTCAATTCGAGATGAATTTTTTCACTCGAATTCTAATCGGCGATGGTACAGAGGGCATATAAATAATTTATATACTACATTGATGTTTTTAGTGACGTAAAATTCATTAGTCGTTTTGTATTATTTTTAAATACAGTTCTGTACAGTTTTACAAAAATTTATCCACTTCGCTAGTTCATCAGCTTATATATTTGACATTTCTAAATTACAATTGATTCACTAAATTCTCACCTCTCGCTACTGATATCTTCGAGTTCTTCTGATTAAACGTTCTGGGATCTGTGATGTGTGGGATGTGTGGTGTGCAAAATCACCAAAAGTAAGTTCTTTGTTTAAAAATTGGCCAAATAAAAGTTAAATAGGTCAAGACTTGAAAAACAGTCCAACTATATGAAAAATGGTTATTACCCGAGAAATAAAAGAAGAATCAAAAATGCTGTAAGTAGCAGCTTGAGTTCAATTTTAACAGAGGATTCCATAAAAATCATCGCTGATAAGGTGGCAAATACTATCGCCAAGCAAATAGATGAAAAACTCGTGACCCTAGAACAAAAACTTAACGATTTTAATAACCGTCTGAATGTGAGCAAACAAGAAAATAGTACGGTGATCAATAGTCTAAAACTTAAAATTTCTCAACTTTAAATGGAAAACTCCATCAATCTCAAAAATTTCGAGCAGCAGGCAAAGTTGAGAAACCTCAAGGGAAGTGACGGAGAAGACACAAAAGGAGAGGTAATAAACTTCTTGAATCAAAAACTGTTGATACAACTGAATGAAAACGATATACTGATATGCAATCGAGTGGGGAAGAAAGTTGAAGGCAACCTCAAACCGCGGGGTATATTCCTAAATATGAAAGATTCAACTATGAGAAATCTGATTTTCAAAAAGAAAAAATGTTGAAAGGGACAAACGTTGTATAAAATAAGACCTCACCACACGAAGACTGAAACTTATGGACAAGACAATCGAAAAATTATCGGTAAGAAACGCTTGGAGCAGCTCAGGAAAGATTTATGTAATAAAAAATAATCAAAAAATTATTATTATTGATGAAACTGATATTGATAAATCATAGTATCTAATATATAAAAATGGATGTTTGTTGGTTGGTTGGTTGGTAAGTGATAAACTTCTACATCGCTCAACCGATCGTGATGAAACTTGACATGCATAAGTGATTTTTCATAGAGAAGGTTTTTAGGATATCAATTTTTCTGTAACTCGCCACTAGATGGCGCTGTAGAACAATTTTTGAAAGCACTGTTCTATAACGCTGCGCACGCCTAAGTTCGTTGATTCTGATTCTGTCAAAACATTGGAACAGCAGCGATACAGCAACATAGTACTAGTATGTTATGAGTGAAACATGTTGATACATTATTTTTAAAATACATAATAGTATCATAATAACACTTTAAACTGAAATCGCACTAAACTGTGTGCCCTCAAGCAACACTGAATTAACTCACCAGTAGATTAGGTTTAAATTTGTTTATTGATTTACTTTTCATCTATTGATACATTTCTGTTTCTTCCTACTACCTTTTTTTTTATTTTTTATTTTTATTATACTTCACAAATGCTTGAATTTTTGAAAGAATTGGATGGAGAAGGAGAAATAGAAACACAAATATGTGATAATATCAGTCACTGCTTTCAGAATAAACATGGAAGTAGTGTGAAAATCATCCATTTCAATATGCGAAGTAACAAGAAGAATTTTTAGGAACTATATAGAGTCCGACCTGAACAATATCGATATAATCATTCTTTCCGAGACATGGAACATACAATCGATAAATGATTACCATATTCCCCATTTCGGTATACACTATAATGAGTAAACATTTAACAAAAATGATGGGCTAGTAGTTTACACCGAAAACAATTTAGAAATGAAAGAGGTAGTTATGCATAGTTTCACTCAAATAAATTTACTCAGGATCACAATAAAGATCAACTGTATACACCTAGGAATTACAGCGACATATAGACCTCCTTCAATGAATATTATTACATTCATAACTGATGTTCTTATTGCTCCGCTATTATCTTTGCACACGATGAGTGGTCAGAGTTGTATCGCACTGCTGAATATGAATTCATTAAAATACATAAATGGCTAAGCACGAAGGAATGATAACTGTAAGTGTCCAAAAATTGCGAAAGTCTCAAAAATCAAATATCTAGAAGTAATACTGGACCAGCACATGAGGTGGAATGATCACATTAACTACCTTGTCAGCAGAGTAAGAAAACTTATTCACAATTCTACACTCTCAGAGATATTTTAAGTAAAGAAGTTCTACTTGTAGTTCACAACTCATTAATAGAATCAATATTGCCATACTGCATCACAGCATGGAGGGGCGTATATCCTACAAACCTTGATCTGGACATTTAAACAAAAACCTCAACAATATGTTCACCAATCTAGAGCCACAAGATATACCACTGACCTCACATTGAAAGTTCCTAGATTCAGCAAAACTCACACTCAAGAAAATATACTTTATTTTGTCCCAAAAATATACAACAGCCTCCTAAACGAACTGAAAGAATGTAAAAAACTTCATAAATTTAAAGCAAACTCAGAAGCATATATTCTTCAAAAATTTTTTTTAAATAACTTTGTTTGATTCTATTTCTCCCCTGCTCAACTCTTCCAACAAAAAATTGCATATCAACGTTCACACTATTATGAATGGGATGAGAGTGTTGGTAATACTGCGGCACATTATGGTTTAGGCAGAAGCACTAGCACAAATCATCTCATTATTCATGCATATATTTGTAATGTATTTGTATATCATACTTGACGTCTGTACAACATATTATTAGTTTAGTTTGGAAAGGTTGGAAAAAGTTTTTAAACATATTTTTTTTGAACAGTTATTCAGACAATCATGATGATTGATAAAATATAATCAACTATCAATATTGATTTAGAATACACTTCTGTTATACATAAAGCTATTTGAATGAATTTGAATTCGAACCTTTAATACTGAATAAAAAAATATGTCACGTGAAGATATCTATTAGTATAGATTTGAACATGAAGTTTATAGGATCAATTTTTTTTTGTTTACCTAAATGGATGCCTGAATCATTGATAGGCATAGACTATTCTAGATGGATGAGATATGAACAATTATAGTGGACAATGTGAGTCCTTGTCGTTATAATCTATATGCACTTTCGAATCACACTGAACCTACTTACAACGGACATTACACAGTATTCTGCAGACATCCCTACTGGCACGTGGCACGAATAAAATGATTCACAGGTGTCACCAATTTCGCTTATGAGTGGAGTTGCATACATCATCTTTTATGAAAAGGATGAAACGAGTTCGCACCTTTGAGCGTTTCAAAAAGTTATTTTTGAACTGTTAATTTCAATGTTATAATTAATTAAATATGTATATGATAAAAATCCAAAATTTTCATTTAGCACCATCAGTAATGTGCATTAATAATGATCACTCATCCCTCTAAGTCTTGTCTACGTTACAGAAAAAATGTATTGTTTTGTGTTTGATCAGCCATAGTGAATATGACATCAACATATTCATCTTTCGGCTCTGTTGACATTATCATTATCAATGTTTGTAACCGGTTGGAACGACGTGGGTGCTTTGTTCACTCACTCGAATTGACCGCCTGATGGTTGGTGGTTCAAGCCCCAGGCTGAACGACAGATTACCACTTGCTATTGGCCAACCCGTGTTAGGAACCATACGTTGAAAGGAAAAACAGATTTCTCAAACCAATGAAAATAATGCCTACTGAAACTGAATGCAATTGAAAAACGGGGAACTTACAACGCGCGGGTCCCACATAAAGATTTTTTTGATTTCATGGAGACATTAAAAAAACACAATAATAATAGCGAAGAATCATAATTTATTTGTTGGTACCTAAAAATTAAAAACCTATCTTCAAGAACAGAAAAACTATTGAAATAAATATGACAATTCGCAGAAGGCGAATACTACAAAATCCTCTATAACATCACATCAACTTCATTGAAAGAAACATTGTGCATTAATAATGATCACTCATTCCTCTAAGTCTAGTCTACATTACAGAAAAAATGTATTGTTTTGTGTTTAATCAGCCATATTTAACTTTGGGCTCTGTTGACATCATCATTATCAATGTTTGTGACCGGTCGGTCCGACGTGGGTGCCTTGATCACTCACTCTAATTGACCGCCGTGATGGTCGGTGGTTCAAGCCCCAGGCTGAACGACAGATTACCACTTGCTATTGGCCAACCCGTGTTAGGAACCATACGTTGAAAGGAAAAACAGATTTCTCAAACCAATGAAAATAATGCCTACTGGAACTGAATGCAATTGAAAAACGGGCAACTTACATAGCGCGGGTTTTTTGATTATATGGAGTCAATAAAAAAACAAAATATTAATAGCGAATAATCATAATTCATTTGTTATGTATGACAGTTCGCAGGAGGCGATTAGTACAGAATTCTCAATAACAGCACATCAACTTCATTGAAACAAACATTTCTCGGTCTCTCATATTACGTGAAGTTATCAAACTATAACACTATATACAAGTACGTCGATTCCAATAGCAACACATCAAGTCATTACTCCTCAGTAGTATCAAATGATTTGATACACAAATGCAACGTCCCTGCACTATCACAAAATTCCTCCCAGGATGAGTAATCAATATCTAAACAGCAAACGTCATCAAAAAATTGATAATCGAATTTCAAATGACAACAAACAGTACCAAAATTTGTAGCTTCGAGGAGACTGTTCTTGTTGATGATCGATATTTCATACCTGAAACGTTCTTCTTCTACTGGTTCGCCAAAATAATAGCATCCTGTTCGAAACAATCTTTGTGGTTCTTGAAACTCCATAGAAAACCTGAACACTTTGTCGAATGCAAAATAGGGGAACATCCTGCAGGGACTCAACTCTCACTGTTCCCGAGAACGCAAGTCCCCAGTGTTCTTCATAGCAATGTTGATTTGCTTCCTTCGAAGGTCCCATTCAAGCACATCCAATTTGAAACATCAACGGGCACGTAACAAGCCTGAATGAACAAATTAGTCGATGGTCAAATGCATATCCTGAATCGTTGCAGCCACTATTCAAACAATTTCTGGGGATCTTATTGACGACAACTGCCATTTTCCTATTAGAATTCATAGCGATCTTTTTTTTATCTACTGAGTCTTCTGGTTGAACTTTCCGTGCCAAGTCACGTTAATATGTCTACTAATGAAAAACAGATGTGGTCATGAACTTTTATAGGATCAGTTTCTCGTATTTACCTGAATGAATACCTGAATAAATCAATATGGATCATCAATAGGAAAATACGATATAGGTGAAAATTCAGGTACTAGTTATCATTTCCATTCATCCAGTGAAATGAAATCTGAAATTATGTAAGTTAAATTTCTGCTGGCAATTAGTTTTCATCCTTTGGAAGTGTCCAATTTAGCCCACTCTGTCCAACTTTCCTTCATAAGCAGATTGAACATTTCCCGATTTTCTCAGATGATACAGACGATAATAAACAA